CGTACAATAACACGCGTTGTTTCATTTCGTTTCGTTTTTCCGTTGCCTCCGGAAACCGAATGAATCCACAGAAACGGAGGCGCGGCATCATAATAATGGAGGCAACAACCGAGTCGTGCGACCGTAGTCCCGATTTTTCTATCGACAATGGAATTTCCTGGATGACTGACGGCTCAGTCATCGACCGATTCGCAGAGCGATCATCCGTGAATTCCCTTGCTCCTTTGCATTCCACAGTAACAACAGAGTTCGCAGATGCACGATTCCTCCGTGTGCGCGTGTATTACGCAAAACGAAGGGAAGCGTTCGCGCGCGCAAGATAAGAGCAATATATTTCGGAATATCCGGTCTTTGATGTACAAAAATTGATCTGTCGTGTTTTCCACGACCTTTGTCCTTTCCTGCATCAGTTCGTGAATTTCTCTTGCGAGAGAGATATTCATCCTATGAATATCTCTTCTAAACTATTCAAAGCTACGATCCAACTGTAAACTAATGATTATTTATCAATCCTGTGATGTCTCTCATTTTTATCATTTTCTTGTATAATGAAGTTTTTCTCACAGTTATATAATATTTTATGTTTATATAAATTTTCGTATAAGAACGGAATACTAATTTATTTAATGTTTTTAAAATTAATATTATGTAAAAAATGATAATATTATTACAATATATTTATTTAATTAATATGTAAATTAATAAATTATATAAATAATATTAGTACTATATGAAATTTTTTCAAAAAAATAATTTTCTTCTGCTTTTTTGTATGTTAATAGCTTATATACTATCTTTTCAACATATAAATTAGTAATAGTAAACTAGTTTTAAATTTATATATAAAATTATAGAACCTGAATTAGTAGAACCTGAGATCTAAAAATTTATTAAAAAGAGATTTGAAGAATTTCAGAAGTAAATTCAAAGAATTTATTTGTTTATAATTTAACTAATGTAAAGTAGAAACTTTCTCTTATTTCTACATTGAAAAGTGAAAGAATTAAAATGTAATATAATTAAAATAGTATTACCAGAAAAATATATCAATTGTATTCCTTAATTATCTTTCATATTTAAGTGGTATATATATTAATTTTCTATGTAGAAATAATAATCATATTTATATTTATAATTCCATATAGCAATATGCGTAAATTTTTGACGAATCACCATTGCAAATAAAATCATACTTTCTTCACATTTTTTTTTTATAAGATACAAGGTATACCTTTACTTCTTTTTTAAAAAATTTGAGGTATTTTATTTTTTAAGAAATTTAACCTTAAGCAATTTGAAAGGGTTGAAGATCTAATAATTGCATAAGTGTCATTGTAAATCGAAGGTATAGATCACACAAGGACGTACATGCAAGTTCTATTACGTAATCGCATAATTTCCTAACCATGTTAGTGCATCACGTTGCAAGTCTACCGAACAGAAGACAGCGTATGGATCTGTTCGCTTCAGTAGCTTATGCACGTAACGTGCAGCAATCGAAGGGTTAAATGTAATTTACCTTCGACGGGAACCTAGAGGAAACTTCATGGTACGTTCACGCAGTTTCAGTCATGTGATGTGTCGCGGATAATGCACAGATGCACCAGTGGTTCTCGGAATATAGATTCTTAGAATATAAATTACAAAGTGGCGATTATAGTAATGCCAAGAAAATCGTTTCATCTTCATTCACAATATTTTGAAATTTTAATCGGTATCTAGAAACCAAGAACACGCGAAACGTAATCTGATAAATATTTTATCTCATATGTTTTATGTGAATACATGTATATGAATATACATATACATGCAAACAACGGCCACTATATTATTGACGAAGGAAGTGCTTAATTAAGCTCGCCATCGTGGAAAACTAAAGTTGCTCTGTTAGTAATTGGATATTAATTATTATCTCGGAACTCCTTAGCTACAGCGTTGTATAGCTTGGGTCTACTTGGTACTTACAAGATTGTACTTGGCTACATCCGTAACCTGATCAATTAAGTAAATTTATTGCTTATATTTTATACTATTAGAGAAAAAGAGTAAATATAATCTACGTAAATTGAAGTAAGTTTAATAACGACGATATAAATTAAGTTTACTAAAAACAGAGAACGGAATCACGTAGTTTAAGAAAAATTTAAGATAATATAAATAATATCAGATTTTCATTATATTTTTTATCTTATGATTTCCCTGGAGATTTTTAAAAAATGTTCTCTCGTTGATAACTTCGGTGTTGCAATATACCATCGATATATTTCTATAAATACTACATGCACCACTTTGACCGCAATATCGCCACTATTCCTATAGTGCGACTCTTTTCGGATATCAATAAACAATTTGTCACCAATCTTTTTGATAGAAGCATCAATAAAAGAACAAAAAGGGGATTTTTTTATAAATATCTTGGTATATTATTTTACATGTATAAAATATAATACAAAATAAAATACAACTAAAACATTATGAAATGTAAAAAAAAGAACTATAAGTGAGTAAAATAAAAATTTTACGAAAACGATATTTTGTAGTTCCCAGATCTCTTTACAGAAAAAAATACAATCTCATCGTATTAGCTCTTTCTCTTTTTCCATTGCAGTTTTTAATTTCTCTAATCCGTCAAAGTACTTTCTAAATGCATGCGTGCATTAACTAGTACAATGAGAATTCTATTCTTTTTATCATCTGCATTCGAAACAAGACAAATATACTATACATTTACGCATAGAAGAGAAAAAGAGATAATGAGAAAAGTAGAAAACGTAGCTGAAAAACAAATGCATATAACGTACTATACAATAAATGAAAAGTTCTTCATGCGTCCATGTTTCTCCAATTAAGTTCTGATTAAATCGTTGATTAATTTAATCGACAAAATTACAATTTTTGATTAAATTTCTAAGTACATAATTTAATTTAATTTTTTTATATACACATATCGTTCTGTCTCTCCTTTAAATAAATGACTTCAAAAGTGACATAATTCAAAAAACATGATTTTCAAGTTTTTATGTACAAATTAAATAATTATATATACTTTATTAATCATCAATTATCAAAAATACGAATACTTAACACTTAACTTCATAAAAAAGCATTATCGTTACAATTAAAAAAGATGAATTTTTAAAGGTTGTAAAATGAAAATGAAAAAAATGACTTGATTATGTTAAAAATATATTCTTTATACCGATATTATTTTGTTAATAAAAATTTATTTAAAGATATTAGAAGATATTATTAATAATTTAATTTTTTGTCAAGTTGAAAAATACAATTTTTTTTTCTTTTTGGCAAATTTAATTTTTTGAATTGTTTAAGATAAAAGAAACAATAGATCACAAAATTATTATTATTAATATAATAGTATAATTATTATTTTTGCCTCTTATTTTTATTAATGAAATATTATATGCAGTATAATAATAATAATAATAAATTAATCGGAATTTGAAGTCGCTATAGCTACAAAGTATATATATATATATATATATATATGTATACAGCTTCTGTAATATAGAGGTATGTGTAAGCGATCAGATGATCTTTCATTAAAAGATGGCTGCCAAAGGAGCGAGTAAGGTGGGTAAAACTGCGTTGAGGTATTTTCTGGGAACATGCGTGCCTTCGTCGAAGCAGAATGCCGCCAAAGTGAGAGTACCGCAATTACAATTTGATGATTATATTCATATGGTTAGTATTATACATATGTATCATGTATCATATAATAATATTTATATAGATTCCTAGTTGAGGTTATATTTCTTGGTTTCAACAGTACTTTAAGGAAAACGAATTTATTTATGCCCATGATCCGAAGAAGTTGTGCAAAACCGGTGATGTAATTTTGATAAAAACACTACCGCAGAAATTAACACGTCTGATCACACACGAGGTATGTGTTGTTCTATCTATGTTTAATTATTGCTATTGTTGTGTGGTTATAGAAAAAGATGATAGATTTAAATAAATATAATTTTATGAATGACTTCATATTTTTACTACTTAAATCAAAATCTGTAGGTTGTCGAAGTGATATATCCTCTAGGCGATATAGTAGATCCAGTCACAGGAAAGGAAATTGTTGGATGTAGATATAGGTATACCGTTAAAAATTTCACGAAACTACTTAAGACATTTATGTGTGTATTATGAATGCATTAAAAAATTTTTATTTCTTTGTAAAATTAGGGAAGATATAGAAGAAATAAGTAAATTATATGGCAAAAAAGACTCAACCTTTGATTATTCGAAAGCACCACGAAGAGGAAGACTGGAAGGCACACGAGACTTCACTCATAAGAAGATGTATCTGAAATATTACCATAATCCTGATGACCCACAACCAGATACTGTTCCAACATAAAAAGTATAAGATACTATTGTATTGAGAAATTCGATAATTAATAAATATTATAAATATTCAATAGAGAAACTGTACATTGCAAATTGTAAGTACTACAAGTTTTTATTTTCAAATTTTCCGATACATTCTGGGATCTCAATACAAAAGCTTGCTTGGAATCATCAATGTTAATACGATAGCTCTAAAAATATTAGAAAATAAATTTTTTATTTTCTA